CTGGAACTGCAGCCGGTACACGGTCCGGCCGCGAAGCCTTCGGGCAGGGCGGACGCCAGTTGCCGCGCTCCGTCCCAGGAACGCTTTTTGCGTCGTGAGAAAAACCAGACAACCGTGCTTCATATGTTTCTGCTTCTGGGGGCCCTCGCCGAGCCCTGGGGCCGTGAACGGGTAGAGTCCTCTGGTGGCCTGCGGTGTCACAGAATCTGCAGTGTCCCTCTGACCCCTCCGCGCTCCTCCTCCAAGGTCTGGGTTGTCGGTCCGGCGTGCCCGTATGGGGGGGGGCGCTGCTGCCGACGCCCTGGACAGGGGGCGGGCCTGGAGGTGTCCCGCCCAAGGCTCTGGCAATGGGGGCGACTGCTCGGCACGCGCCCCCTCTCCAGGCCCGCGTCTCGCGCATGCGAAAAACCTCCATCGTCCTCCTCCTACCCCCAATCCTCTTCCATGTATGAGGTATATCCTTTGGTCGCGATGGTGCCCGTGATGGAGCTCAAGCAGCTCCGCGATGCCCCCGAGACACACCCAAGAGGCCCCAAATTGCCCCGAGGTGGCCCCAGATGGTCCAAGACAGCCCACAAGACGCCTTCAGGCCAAAGTCCATCAACAAATGATGGCTCCGCAAGCATGGCTCCTCAATGAGTAGAGCTTTCTAGCCTTTTCGCTTCCTCTGGGCCTACGGGTTCTGAGGCATCAAGACTGCTTCAAGAGAGGCCTCAAGAAGACTCCGAAGACCCCCAAGAGCGTCCCAGTAGAGGCCCAGCACAGCTCCAAGAAGCCCAAAGAGGGTACCAGGCCGGCCCAAAAGAGAGCATCAAGGGGCGGCAAGCCTACAAATGGCCCCGAAACAGCTCCAAGATGCCCCAAAGACTGCCCCTAAGAGGCCCCTGAGGTGGCTAAAGATGGCCCAAGACAGCCTCTAATACACTTCCAGGAAGCCCAAGCCCATCAAGAAACAACCGTATTTCAGTTATGTTCGCTTTCTCGCCGCTCCGCTTCCTCAGGGCTTCAGAGTGCTCGAATATTGCGCTAAAGGGGGCTCCAAGAGGGGACCAGCATCCTCTCAGCCCCCGCGAGCCTGCAGGCAGTATGAACCGGAATGAGCGAAGGCGTTCTATAAATAAGATTATGATGTTCGTTCTGCCTTCGAAACCAAGAACTTGTTGCTTGCAGGCGCTGGGCAGGCCACAAGAGTTGGTCCTGGCTCAGCGCAGCCCTCACTGGCATATCTGTCGACTGCCCTGCACGTCGAGACTCGCATGGCACCGGCCCCAACACTCCCCGCATGCCGTGGTCGCCCCCAAGCCAGCCTGCCACCACGTGCCCCCTGGCATGCTAAAGCACGATAGAATACCAAGTATTGCCTGGCATGGCCTCCATAAGTCTACGGAAGGCCCCCCCCCGCCTCAATTTTTGCGTCGGCGGCTGGGCAGAAGGGCTGTTCCAGCGATGTGGCCTTAGTGGGTCACACAAAACGCGAACTAAGCCGCGCAGGGCACGCGGGAGGAGAGAGGAGGCCGGCCTGGCGCCGCCCCCTCGCCTCACCCCTGGTCGCGTGCACGGGCCCTCCCCTCCGAGGGCTCCTGGGCGCCCCAACGCCCCCCTGGCGCTCTCCAAAGCGCGCCAGGGCTTGAAACACGTGCCAGCAAGGCCGGCCAGATGGCCAAGCCTTGCCCCAAAACGTATATTGGATTTCTTAATAAGCGCGGGGGGGTACCCCCCGACGAGGGTCAACCTCGCCTCGTCGTCGCGCCGCGACGGGGGTCGGAGCGCCTGAGGCGCGCGGTGGCTGCCCGCGAAGGGGGTCGACGCGGGGCTGTCGGCGGGGGCGGCGCCCCCAGACGCTTATTCAGAAACTCGGCGTACCCGAGAGACCCGCACAAGCACACAGCAGGCGCGGGGCAGGCGATCGGCCGCTGCGCCCGGGCGAAATCTGAGCGGCCGCGGCGTCTCGGACTCCGACGGAACCCCTGGATGGGGATCGGCCGTGCTGGGAGGAGCGCCTCGCATCCCAAGTCGAACTGCGACCGCCGTCGGAGCCGCGGCGCGGGTCGCGGGAGTTGCGGGAGGGGCCACGAGAAGGGGAAAGCGAACCCGACGAACGACGGCGGTCCTTGTGGCCAAGTCGGCGCGCGCCCACCGGACTGCCGCGGGATGGGTCGCGGCCACGGCCACGGGGGCGGCGACCCCCTGGACTCCGCGACGGCTGCGGGCTGCGTGGACGGCTGGGACTCCGAGGGGAAGACTTGCTAGCTGTGCGAATGCGCGGGTGCGTACACTTGTCGCCCTTGAAGAATTGGCCGTGCTCGTAGTAACTGCAACCCTGTAGATGTGGTCGCCAGCAACGAGCGTCACGTGGACAAGACCCCGTCTTCGCGCATACACAGCAGAAGTTACAGAATCGTCCCGTCGCAGATCGACGAATGCTGTTCCAGTTCTTGGAAGCGTTGGATGGAGGTCGCGAAGGCGCACGAATGCGACGCAGCAGTAGTCCCGCGAAGACCGCGTGGACGGTTTCGCTGGGATAAGGGTGGAGCACTCTTTGAGTCCGCGGCGGTTGCGGCGAAGTCGGTGGAGCTCGAGGTTGGCGTTGACACACTGGCGAAGCGACGTACAGCTGCGTTCTGGATGGTTGATCGGCGCCCTGCTGTGATAGAGAGCAATGTCGTCACGCATCCACGGGCGACGTCGCATCTGCGCACGACATAGATCCCAGCATCGCAGGCGATGGCATCCCGCGTAGCTCGAATAATCCGCAGGCCCCCCTGCGGGGCCATCAGGCTGCGAGGCTTAGTCTTGCTGCTCCCTGCGCCAGTTCCAGTTTCCAGTTTCCAATGTTACAGCATTGTTTTCCGCTCATTACTATATAAACTGTTACTGTCCGCGTGAGGAGGGGCGCCGAAAACCACCTCGGCTAGCATCCCCGAATCACATTCTCAGAATTTGTGGAGGGCACTGGGACACGCGAAAATCCGCCGATCCGGCGTGTGAGTTTAAGAAGTCTAAGCTGAAGCTCTGCTTCAGCATGAGCTTTAGGTCTGCTTGGGAGGGGGGAGGGGGGGGGACGTAATTACCTGACGAATTCAGTGCTCGGCACCTCCCCCCCCCCTGCCAGCCCCCAGGAGAGAGGGGGGGGACAGGAGAGAGGGGGGGGGGGGGTGGGGGGAGAGGACGGGGGGATGGCCAGGACGAGAACCAGGGGGGGGGAGGGGACAGTAGAGATAGGGGGGGGGGGGGGAACGGTTGAGCACGGAGGGTGGCGGACATGAGAGCAGTGGGTGGTGGGGTCTGGGGGGGGGGGGGGGGGGTTGGGGGGGGGGAGGGGTGGGACAAGAGAGAGTAGGGTGGGACAGTGACAGAACAGGTGGAGGGGGGGGGGCGAGGAGAAGGGGGGTTGGCAGGAGATAGGGGTAGGGGGGTGGGGACCGTGAGGAGGGGTGGTTGGGTGTGACGTGGGGGACAGGAAGGAAGGTGGGGGGGGGGCGGGGGGGGGGGGGGGGGGTGGGGGGGGGGGGGTGGGGGGGGGGGGTGTGAGACAGGATATAAAAAAGAGGGGATGGAGGTAGAAGGATGGGTGGGGGGGTGGGGGGGTGGGTGGTGGGGATGGGAAATAGGAGTATGGGACAAGCTCTCGAGAGCGCGAAAAGCTTGAGCATCAAAATAGACCAAAGTTAACAACAAGTAAAGCGAACCCAAAAACCAAGGGATAAAATAGACCAAGCTAACAGTGGGGGGGTTGGGGGGGGGTTGGGGGGGGGGGGGGGTGGGGTGGGGGCCAGTAGTGAAGGAGGGGGCGGGTGTGGGGGTGGGGGCGCGCCCGGCCATGACCCTCTCCATCACCATCACCATCCCCATCTCGTTCCATCCACACCTCATCTCAATCATCATCCTCACCATCATCATCATCTCATCATCATCATCCTCCTCCATCACTCGATCACTCATCATCATCCGCCTCAGCATCAGCATCAGCATCAGCATCATCATCATCATCATCATCATCATCATCATCATCATCATCATCATCATCATCATCATCATCCTAATCGTAATCATCATCATCATCATCATCATCATCATCATCAGCATCAGCATCAGCATCAGCATCAGCATCAGCATCAGCATCATCATCATCATCATCATCATCATCATCATCATCATCATCATCATCATCATCATCGTCATCGTCATCATCATCATCCGGAGCGCCCCGAAGAAGCGGCACTGGCCGGAGGCCACTACAATACATGAGATTCGCGCTCCGGACGCAATCACCCATTGAAAATTACGCTGCATTCGCGCCTGCGAGGCCAAGATCTTTTGTAAATTACAACGTGTTCGCGCCCCCGAAGCCACGATCCCTCGCAAAATACACCACACTCACGCTCATCAGGTCACCACCCCCCGCAAATTCACTACATTCTCGCCTGTGGAGCCACGATCCCATGTAAATTACCCCACAATCGCGCCCCGAGGCTACGCTACATTCGCACCCCCAAAGCCACGTTCCGTCGCAAAAGACGCCGCAATCGCGCCCCCGAGCCATGATGCCCCGCAAATAAAACCACACTCGCCCCCCCAGGCCCCTTGTATCCCCCAGGAAGCCCCGAGAGGCCGTCAAGAGATCCCAAGAGGCCCCAAGAAGCGCCCAAGACGCGCCCAAGAGGCCTCCAAGAAGCCGAAAGATACCCCACGAGACCTCAAGAGGCCCTCAAGAGGCGCCCAAACCGCCTCCAAGAGGCCCCCGAGAGGCTCCCCACGACACCCCAACACATATATACAAGAGGCCCCATACCCACAAACCAGGCACGGTAGCGTGGATGGACCGAAGGCCACTAGGATAGCGCCAACGTTTCAATTTGCGCTGCGCTGGTGACTCCTATACGCCCCCGCATGCTGTTCCCAGATGCGCCAAGGAAGCGTCGAGACGCACCGATGCGACGCTGTCATATCCCATTAAGATAGAGAGGAGGCCGGCGGCAGGGGACGAAGCCCTCACGGATAAGTTGCCCCAGTATGAGACCAAGTTCCTGGGGTCATCGTCACGCATGCGCAGTGCGTTGATGCGTTCGACATCGCGAATGGCGTCGCCGGCGTCCTCAACATCGCAGGAGCGCAAGATACGCAAATAGAGTTGGCGCCCTTTCAGCACGCGCCCCTGTCGGCGCCCCGCATTTTCCAGGAGATCGACGTCCTTCGCAATTCAGCGGAGAGTTTGTCGGCGAATGCTGCTGCAAGCTGACAGTCCAGACTCTCGAAGTCCCCAATGCCACGGAGATCACCAAACTGTATGTCAAGCTGTTCGGCGGCACCGATGAAGGTGCAGGCAGCGGTAGGTCTGCCAGATGCCCCGCAGAATGCCTCGCGCGACTTCCGATGCCACTCCGATGCCTGGGTTATCCTTGGAAGAAATGGCACCTAGATGGTTTCGGCCTCTTGGACCACGGCCGGAATGGGGAAGAGAGGGACGGCGACTGCGCGCTATGACAGCGTGACGGTAGAACCATGGGCGACGGGCAAATGAGTTCGATAGCTCGCCGCATCAGTCACGCCGTCGGAGCGCGGTTCGTCCTTGGGCGCGCAGCGGGCCACCGCGATGGTCGGCGCGGAGGTTCGGTTGGCGAGGGCTGGAAATGAGCTCCGTCTCGCTTGAGTACTCTAGCTCTGTTGTGGTCGGCGCTCGCGGCGCTGCGGCGCGCCGCGGGCACGCGCGGACAACCTGTCGCCGACGTCGGCGAGGCCCCCGCGGTAGCTGGCCCACGCAGCGCCTGGCCACCTTGAAATCCGCAATGATCTCCCTGGTTTTCTTCGCCGTGCGAAAGCGTTCTTGGTCCAAGTCGGAATGTACATCAGCTTGAATAGAACGTACATCGCAAAATTCCCAGGCCTGCGTCGTCAGGCGGGCCTAAGCGTCAGCCACCCGCGCCATAGGTCATCTCGCTCGGAGAGCACGTCGTAAAACTGCCTTTGCACGCGGCCACCGTCGCCCGCAAAGTCTGTACCTGAGTTGCCACAGGGGAGCGCGGAAGACGACCGAGGCGACGCCCAACTGCGCCGTCTAGGCCCCTGCAACAAGCAATTCAGTCACGGTCTGTTCGAATGTAGAGACTCTGGCGCATAACGCAAGAATAATTGTGATGCGGGAATCGTTGAGACGCCGCGTTGGACCGCGCTCTGGCTGGAAAAATTCACCGCAATGGTCCTGTTAGGCGTCGCGGGTCACGGAGCGCAGCGTGGCAGCTCGGAAAGAAACCATGTCTCGAAGCTCGCGTTGGCATCCACGAGTGGCGGCCATCGCCGTGCCAGGCGCGGCCAGCGACAGTGCATGCACAGCTTCGTGCACAAGTCGAGCTCGCGAATCATTGTGATCTCGTACCGCGAGGGCGCGCGCCTCGAGGCGTTGGAGGTCGGACTTCGCGGAGGCAAGCTCGGAACGATCCTGGCCACGCTGCAAGTGGGTTTCATCAGCGCGGGCATTCACCCAAATTGCAACCTGACGGTCGCGCTGGACGGCCACGTCGACTGCTTCAAGCCCCTTGATCTGACGCGGTCGCAAGAGGGCCGCAGCGGAAGCGGCAGCGGCGATAGATGTGGGCACGGCAAAGAACTGGCGCGCAGCAAAAGTTTCAACCTGGTCTCTCAGCCCGAGCAAGTGGTGTTGCAGCACAACTGACGAAGATGTGAAGGCGTCCATGTGGCGACGGCCCCTCACGGAGGACTGTGGCCGCGGGCGTCCTGCGCAGTCAAATCAAGATGATCGGTCTGCCCAACACCGCAACGGTTGACCTCGGGGCTGGCGGCGCGCTGTCAGAAGACGGAGTTTGAGCGACAGTGTTCGAGCCCGCGCTCAGTGACCGATCGTCGTGACTCGATAGCACATACCTAATCCGCGTCCGTTCGGAAAAACTGGTGGGATCCAACACTGACGGAATACATGGGGGGAAGAGGATGTCCCTGAAATGCATTGCCGACAACAAGTATGGCACTCGCAAGTGCCCCCGCGCACACTCGAAGCAGCGGGAGGCCCGGGAAGCGAGCGTCCTGGGAGTTGGGTGGTCCCTGGGAACCAGCGACTGCTTGAACTGCCCCCCGCAAGCCGTGAGCATCCCGGATGAGTCCCACTCCACCAAGGCTAGCGCCTGGAAGAGCTTCCACCCACAAGCGATCAGCGAAGGGGTCAGGAGCTCCATAGTCGCTGGTTCCAACGGTGGGGGCGGCGCGTGAGTTCGGATCGCCGAACGCATCATGAGTAGACATCAAATCAATCCAAACCACAGACATATCGGATGTGTCTGGAGGAATGGGCACACTGGCAGCATTGCTGCTATCAGAATCGACAATTTCCTCAAAACCCTGCGCTAACGTCCGCGGCACACCCACACGAGGCGGGGTGGTAGCCACCTGTGCAAGGCTGGAGCCCCGCCGCGTGGGAGTTGTCGCACTCGAAAGTTTTGAAAAAGCGAGGCGCATAACCTGTGTGAAGAAAGGGTTGACCGACGGGCCGATCCTCTCCATACCTGCAAGCCGAAAATGGCAACGGTAAAGTAAAGAGTAAGAAGTGTACGGGGATTATTCACACCATCTACAACCGCCAAGATTGTGGGGGAGTGAGTCTGTTCATGCACGATTCAGAGGTTGGGTGGAATACTGAAGCAATGAGTCGGTGCAGGGCGAGCTCAGACAACGGCAACTCAGCATCGGTCCCTGGGGTCCAAGCGCAGCAGTTTTGTTGCCGAGCTGCGCCCAGCAGAGGCGACGAGGGGGTCCCCCGAAGGCCAACTACAGTTGTCTCAACTCGCCCTATTCTGACAGATCATTCCTAAGGCCATCCCAGGTACGTCTGGCCCTCCTCCCCCCAGTGCGTAGCCAAGTCGTCGCGCGGACCCACCAATGCCACACGCGGGGACCTCCGCAACCTGGAACGTGCGCTTTGCACTGAAAGCTTTCGGGCCGCGAAGGCGTGAGGACCGCGGGAAGCGCCAGCAGCCAAAGGAAACATGCCCCAGCCTCGTGCAATCCCGAGAGGTCGGAGGGGATGAAGGTCTCCATTCTCCCCCCCCCCTCTTCTGAGAACAGCACAACCCACCCACCCGCCAGGCCCCCCAGGTCGAGAGTGGGGACCCCGGCGAGGGTCGGGATGGCTTGCGCTGCCCCCCTCTTCGACTTCGGTTCCTGATTCTGGCTGTGTGGGTAGCAGTGCCGGCGGGCCAGATTTAGAAACGTTTAAAGCCGGTCGGAGGAAGCCCAGACGGAGACCGAGCACTCCGTATGGACCTACTCCGTATGGCCTTAGCATCCGCCGCGAAATCTCCCGGGTCGCTTTGTCCGCTCGCAGAGGGCGCATCGCCGTGCGAGGGCCCCTTCCGTCCCTCCATCGAACGGAGGGGGAGGCGGCCCACCGAAGCGGCCCTCGGCAGAGGTGATGGGGAAGGGAAGGCGGCTTGGAACCGCGCCAGCCCCGACCAGACAGCGAAGAGCCTCTCGTCCACGGAAGACGCCAATGGGCGGCGTGTCTTCCCGTACGTTTTCTGATAATGATTGTATGTCTCGTATGTGTCAATCGAAGAGTTGTATACTGCCTATGCGCAGTTTAGGCGCTGGGCTGCCTTGCTTGCAAGGAGGACGCTAAGTATGCACCGACTCCACATGACGACTCCCTTCTTGAGCCTCAAACTGGTGTGTAGAGCAATTCCTAGCAGATGGCGGGGAAGGGCAGCGCACTGTCCCCAGGCCCAGGCTGGGAGGGCCCGTGTATCGACGGCGCAGCCAAGCCCCGTAGCAGAATGCATGCATGACTCGTGCCAGCGCCGCGTGGCCCAAACATGCACACGAGCATCAACATTGTCCGACACATTCTGCCCCCTCTGGCCGCTCCCGCCTGCCCGAGACCCGCCACTCGCCAGACCCCCCCTGCCCCTCCCAATCCAGTCTTTCCTTGACTCCCGCGTTCCCCTCCCCTCTGTCATGAGGATGAGGTGGGAAGGGCATGGTAGGAGGCTCCAACCTGCTGCCGCTGCTGCTGTCCAGAAACTGGAGAAGCGAACAGGCACCGATATCAGCGTTCCCATGACCTTTGTTGGGGTGCGTTCTGCCCAGAGAATCGAAGCGAGTCCAGCGGTAGCGGCAAGGGCCTCTTAGGAGGCCCAAAAAAGACGAAAACGACACACGGGTAGCGGTATCGGAACCTTCCCTTCCTCTGAAACCCCCCCTGGCCAGGAAGCCTTTGCTCCAGCCACCCGATCTGGCAGAAGTTGTGAACCCTGCGCGGGAACGCCCGCTCGGGCGCTCGCCTACGCCCCTTGTGGGCGGCGCGGGCGCGGGGCCGTGACCTCGCAAAAATGGCCAACGGGATGCGAGCTTACTCGGAGACCAAACGCGGGGGGGCATCAAGAACGGAGTCCCTGATAAATGGCGCCTCTCCTGCCGCTTCCAAACTGGACCTTCGGTAGCCACTCTGAGCCACCGGGTCCTGCCCACAAGCCGCAACTACTGCGGGCGGGTCGCCCACAGAAGCAAAACACGGCACGCACGCCGACAGTCGCTCCGAAGCCAACTTTTGGTCCCAGATCTGTATTCGATGGTCCCCGGGCCCGGAAACTCGCCCTGGAGGCCGAAGTCCACGAAAAGCGCCCAGGTTGAAAAAACAAAGCACCACTGGAGATCTGGGAGAAGCGAACGCCAGCAACACTTTGACTCGAGGAAGTACGGAAACGACGACTTACCAGACCACCCCAACCTAACCCGAAGATTCAAATTTCGATTTGGCGGGGTACGCGTTCCGAATATGGTTTTTCAATGTTCCCCAGCGACCCCCTCCACTGGGAGTGGAGGGCAATCTGAAGCATTTGAGATGGATCGGGGCGATTCGGTTGGTGGTGAGAAAATGAGAGCGCGTATTGCATCGCGCAGGTACCCGCTGGATTTCGGGATAGACTGGTCGCAGAACCAAACAAACCCGTAGTGTAGGAGGCCTCGGCTCGCCTCTGAAGGCGGCCGAGTTCCTTTATTATAAGTACCTATAGCGTAACCACTACAAAAGACAGGAAGAAGACGACGACGACGACGACGACGACGACGACGACGACGACGACGACGACGGCGCACACCGCCGCGCGCGCCTCTGTCTGCCCCGCTCGACAATGTAAAACGCCGCGGCGGGCGCGGAACTTGTAACACAATCCTCAACCTCGATCCTCAAGAGGACGGGAATGGGGAGGAAAGCGAAGTTGCGACAAGGCCCAAGAGGCAGCCGAGAGCCAGCGAAACCCAGCGGGCGAGTCCTCGAAAAATAGCGCGCGTCATATGCGAAGGGTGAAACGCACCCCGCCTACGAATCTCTGGCCGAGGGGCTCTCAGGTTCGAGTTCATCTCAGGACCCCGCCCAAGAAAAGGGAAGGTCAAAGGGGACCCATAATAAAAGTGGCGCACAGTGTTCGGGGCGGGAGGAGGCGCAGGGAGACGCCCCTCTCCCTGAGGAGAGGGGCGGCCGCGGTCGGCCCCCGCCTGAGGCCAGGCAGTAATCGAGATGAATGCCGATAGCAACGCAGAAGCTGTCGCCCACGCCACACCGCCACGGCGCCGTGGAAGGCAAGCGAGGGAGAGAAGGAGAGAGAGAGAGAGAGAAAACAACAACAATGATACCGGAGAAAAACCCCAATCAGAATTTGTTTGGGGCTATGGGGCTATAGGGCTATAAGGCTAATTGGGCTATAGGGCCATACGGCCACTCTAGGGCTATAGGGCTATAGGGCCATAGGGCTATAGGGCTATAGGGCGATAGAAATATAGGGCTATAAAGCTATAGGGCTACTGGGCATCGGGCACCCGGGCACCCGGGATCCGGGCACCCACCCGGGCACCGGGCACCCGTCACCTGGGCACCCGGGCACCCGGGCACCCGGGCATCCGGGCCCCCAGGGCCCGGCCACCGAATCGGCGGCGAACCCGGGCACCCGGGCACCCGGGCACCCGGGCACCCGAGCCCGGCCACCGAATCGGCGGCGAACCCGGGCACCCGGGCACCTGGGCACCCGGGCACCCGGGCACCCGGGCCCGGCCACCGAATCGGCGGCACACCTCACTTACCCTTAAATCCGCTAGCACCCCTACAGAGGCAGGCTCTGATTGGGGAAATAGAGTACAGAGCAAAAAAGGCGGCACCAGCTTCCGCCGACGACAGCGACGGCCAACGCTGTCGCGGCCCTACCTGTCAGTTCCAAGTCTACTCATCTCATGCCAATCACGATCACCACCACGGCCCCCCCTGGATGGAAGCGGCCAGTTCTCCAACGGGCGGCACGATCCACCCGGCAAGTGCACCCGCCGCGCGGGTCGGGGCGCGGCTGAAGGCTGTCCTGAGCTCGCGGACGCAGCCTACCCCCTTGATTGTGCTCTAGAACGTTCCGATGGGGTCTTTAAGCTGCGGGCGCCACCGTGAAGCCCGGGCTCGCGACGTCGCACTCCCCATGCTGAACCATCTTTGGAGCGGCCTCATGCACAGGCGCGTCTGTCCGACAAAGCAGTCGGGAAGGCGGCTCGACGGTCGCAGCGCGGCCGACCGCCCTGGGGGCCGCCTTGGAAAGCACCCAGCTCAGACTTCGCCGACGATATCCCACTCGCTATAATACCTGCTGGGGGAGGCGCATCCTCAGCAGCCGGGCTGCCACGCCGATAAGGTGCTTTAGATGGCGTGGCGCGTTGCTTGGCGGGCGGCGGCAGTCGGCCAGCTGAGCTGGCGCATCGGTTGCGCGGCCGCGTTTCAAGACGGAGGCACGCGGACCATCGCCCCACACTGCTCCCACTGAGCAGGCCGGCGAAGCACGATCGCTCGCCCGAGGCCCTCGACGCCGACGCGAGCTGGAGCAAGGCAGCAGGGACAAAAGGCACGAAGGCTTCTCTTACAATGGCGATAGTTCTAGCGATAATGTTTGCCACATGCTCGACCCCAAACGGCGCAGCATCATCCGCTCGCTCGGCGCTGCGTTTCTGGAGTTCCAGAGCTGCGAGGGCGGACGACGCAGCGCCTCGGCGCCGCAGCCGCCCGATTTCCAAGCAAGCAAGCTTCCCTCATAATAGCCCATGGTACGCTCAACGCTCCTGGCACGGGGAATTCGCCCCCTTTTTACGACATGATCGTCAAAATCTTCATCGGTGAAACATGGACAAATGAAAATCTACGATGTTGGTCTCTTCGGGCCGTCCCAGGACGCCTCTCGGACCTCTCTCGGGGTCTCTTGGAGGCCACCTGGGAGCCTCGAGAGCCGTCGGAAGGCTGACTTGGGCTGCTCGGGAGCGCATTGGACCATCCTGTCGCATTCTGGGGGCTCCCGGGAGGCTCTCCGGAAAGGCCGGGGGAGCGGTACCGGTTGCGTTCCCGAGCTGTTCCGTGGTGGTGTGGGATCCGGGGCCGGGGGGGGGCGGCGTTTATGTATACTCTATCTCAGTATACACGGTGCACTGACAAGGTTATTAATCGATATGTCGGCGTCAATGGCTTCTAGCAGTGAAGCAGTCTGGCAGACGAACCAGACAGTAGACTGAGGAGTTCCACCATGTTCCTCAAGCGTTGGCCCTATCTGATCAACAGGCTGAGTAACCAAAGTACTGGCTCCAGACTCATCCTCTGCATCAGCAGAAATACGATCGGTTGGTTCGATGCACGTCCCCGGCTCAGAAGCCTGACCAAAAATGTTGTGCTGCGTCTTGGTCTTCGGGACGTTCGCCATCGATGTGAGGGGTGAGTTTCTTCACCTGACTGGAATCTGGGAACTGCAGCGGCGGTGAAGCCCCTCTCGCCAGGAGGGCTCGTCACCAACAGCTACACGAACATCCCCCGCAGCTCTTCATGGTGGGCAACGCCCATCGTAGATAAGGAGTTAATGCCCATGGCGATATTCGCCCCTATGATGTCTGGCCCTTTACCCATCCGCCTTACCACGTGCGCCATGAGATCCAAAGTGCAACGCGCACGCGTGCAGATGGATCCCAGACTTCCGCATTATGGACAGCTTTCGCAGGTCATTACAATCGCTGAGAAGCGGGTCGGAAATCAAAACCAAATCTTCCCTGCCTGGAATACTGAGGCGCGCGTGGAAGCCCGAGGTCTCCTCGGGTCGATATGGGCCCCTTCCGCTGCGTCCACGCGCAGTCCGTTGCTCAACACACGAGGCGGTCGCCGTAGTCGTCACCCAATCACATGCGACTGCGCCCTGAATTGGAGGCTTCATAATCCTCGAAACCGCATGGGACAGTTCGGCGGCCGACTGGTGGGCAGCCCCATTGGCGGCTTCACCACGAGCCACCTCCGCCCCCTCGAACTCAGGAACCCCACAAGTATCACGGCTGTCCGCAATATGAACGTCAGAGTCCTCCACAGCAGAAGCTGGCGGCGGTGCTTTGGCGGCATCGGCTTCCGCCGACGCCTCACAAAAAAATATGCGCATCAGCCTCCGCCGACGCACACGCAGTCTTGAGCGCACCGTCACCCAATGATGCAGAGGAAGGAGCACCAGCTTTCGCCAGCACAACATTGGAATAGGTTAGTGGGGCAGATTCAGGTTTAGCCTGAACCTCTTTCCCTCTACGGATACAACGGTCCTCGGGAACAGGAATCCTAGCCAGTTCTTCCGCATGTGGAGAAGCCACATAGAAATGAAAATACTCATCGGTTGCGGGCCCCATACAGGAAGCACGATGGTGGAATGGCCCTCACCGCCACGACGGCCCTGCTGTCCAATCCAGAAGCCACGGCACAACAAGATTGCCTCGTGGACGCCAACGCATACCTAGATCGAAGAAGACCACGCACATGATGGTAGCTCAACACATATGGCGGGCCGTCAACGTTAAGGTCGCGAGGCAGGTTCCAGGAAAATAATGTCATTTGCCGCCAATTGATTGCAACACCTGAATAAGCCCGACATGCACAGCGCTCCATGCCAAACAAGGGGTGAAATTTGAATATCGGCACGCTTCCAACCCTTGGCTGGAATTGAGCCCTCGCCTAGCGCGCATCCCGAGCGTCCACCTAAGCTTCGAACTTCGACGCAGATGGCTTCTGACACGTGGACAGAGTCGACCGAGACGGGCAAGTAGCATCGGCTCTCGCCGCCGTAAATCCATGCCTCGGTCGCAAATTTTCCACTCGGCATTCCTCGCCAAAGAGTTCGCCGAGGTTCTTGCACGGGGACATGCACGTCATATGGAAGCATGTCGAAGCGCGCTTTAGTGGACGGCGCGGCGGAACTCACTATATCAATGG